TTTCTTTTTAAAAAAAAAATGCACATTAAATGAACTTCTTTTTTTGTCTAAACTAACTTTGGTTGCTTGAACACAACCAATGTCATTATTCACTGCCTCTTAGTTTGTTATATTTCCGTTCTTTCCAAACCTTTTCCAGATGTTAAAAGCAACGATGTGGTCCCTTGGGTGCTGAACTCCATCCTGTCCAGGTATATTCCCAGCCAGAACCCTCATGTGAGGCAGGCAGCCTGCATCTGGCTGCTGTCACTCGTCAAAAAACTGAGCCACCACAAAGAAATCACTGTATGTATAAAAAACACCTGCAGGGTTATCGTCTTCTATGCATGGACACAAGCTTTAAATGTTTGCCCCTCTTCCTTTGCTCTACAGACCCATCTGAAGGAGATCCAGGTAGCCTTCATCTCTGTTATCTCAGATCCCGACGGTAAGCTTCATCTTTCTGACTTTACAACAACAAACAACAACCATTCCTCTCCCTCATCCATCCGTCTCTTTCTTTCCATTCAGAGCTGAGTCAGGATGTTGCATCTAAAGGTCTTGGGCTCGTTTATGAGATGGGGGGTGAGGCCGATCAGCAGGAGCTGGTGTCTACACTGGTGGAAACACTTATGACTGGAAAGAGGTGAGGTGATGATTGAAGAAAGCCGTAATTGAAGATCAAATGTATAAGAGCTTGTTTAAAGTTCATTTTTCTGTGCAAACAGGGTGAAACATGCAGTCTCTGAGGATACCGAGGTGTTTCAAGGAGAGAGTTTGGGAAAAACACCTGATGGGTGGGTTTGTTACATTTAGTAGATGCACATTTTTCAGTTTTTGATTTAATGGTATTTAAAATGTTGATTCTAAGATTTTGTGCATAATTTGAGTTGAAACCAGTGTTGTATTTCCCCTCATTAAATCAACCTGTTATTTTCTAACAGCCAAAGCTTGTCCACTTATAAGGAGCTCTGCTCATTGGCTAGTGACCTGAACCAGCCGGATCTGGTCTACAAATTCATGAACTTGGCGAACCACCATGCCATGTGGAACTCACGCAAGGTGAATTCTCGCTAACAGCCACCATTTCTGCCAGGTTTACTTCTCCTTCCTCATGTGATCAAGCTTTTTTGTTTTATTTGTTTTTAGGGAGCAGCTTTTGGTTTCCACATGATCGCTGCCAAGGCGGGGGAGCAGCTTGCTCCCTTCCTGCCACAGTTAGTGCCTCGCCTGTACCGCTACCAGTTTGACCCAAACCTGAGCGTTCGCCAGGCTATGACTAGCATCTGGGATGCGTTGGTCACTGATAAAACCCTAGTAAGGATCAATGGTTCTGTACACTAAGATGATGGAGACAAATGTTGAGGTGGGTGTGATGGAAGCAACAGAGATCATTTGTTTTTGTGTTTCTGTCTGCACAGGTGGATAAATATTTGAAGGAAATCCTGCAGGACGTCATCTCCAACCTGACCAATAACATCTGGAGGGTGCGCGAGTCCAGGTACAATGCCCCAACGTCTCATTTAACATGATCTTTAGCAGGAATGAGATTTTAAATCTCAGGGTTTCTTTTGCAGCTGTCTAGCCCTCAACGACTTGATCCGAGGCCGTCAGGCTGACGACCTCATTGATTATCTAGCAGAGATTTGGGAGACGCTCTTCAGAGTCCTGGATGACATTAAGGTCAGAAGAAAGTAAACAGAAAAAAATGGTGCTTCTTAACGCCAAGATTTTAACGATGAATCGCTACCTGACCAGTTTTGATATGATTTATTTTAGGAATCTGTACGAAAAGCTGCAGACTTGACACTGAAAACGCTCAGTAAGGTAATGTGATGTGTCAGAGCAATGGTTGATATATTGTGTAAACTGTGCAAGTAGAAGTAGGCTATTTTAAGCTTGTGGGTTTGTGTGTAGGTGTGCATTCGTATGTGTGAGTCTACCGGCTCTGCAGCTCAGAAAACTGTGGCTGTGATGTTACCCACCCTGCTGGAAAAGGGCATCGTTAGCAACGTCTCCGAGGTTCGCTCTCTCAGGTAAAGATGCATCTACACACCAACTGAAATGTAAGCTCAGTCCAAACAGTTACACCCTGTTCTGGTCGGGAAAGTTGTTTGCTACGGAGCTGCAATACTATATTTTTACTCAAGTTAGTCACTTATAGTTATCAAGAAAATTACTCACGTAAAAAAGTATTTGGTAAAAAGGTTATTCAAGTACTGAGTAACTCATCATAATATATGATGTATAAAATCATGTAATAAAGAAACCAAAATGTAAAGTTATGTTTATTCTGTTTTTTTAAAGACTATTATAGAATAGTTAAAACAAATGATGTAACTAATAAATTAATATTATTGGCAGAACAAACACTCCTAAAGGATTTTCTTTTTAACATAAAACTTATAAAAATCAGTACCTGTAGTGGAAATATTTCCTCCTTTCTGTGTATTAGCTTGATGTCACAGTAGGTTAAAGTTCACTTATACACAAAAAAGAGCACTCATTTTAACTGAAACGTTAAAGGGGAACGCTGTTTTTTTTTACATTGGGCTCTTGATTTTACGTCATTACATCATGTTCTATTCACCCATATTAGTTTTGTGTCATTTGGAGCAGCTTGCGTGTATGACGTCATCCGCGCATGCGGACTGGAGTCGTAACAGGCAGCCTGGGCAACAGGCAGCTACGCTCTTCCTCTTCTATTCATTCGGCGAGATAATCTGAATCGTTCAATTCCATTTCGAGAGCGAGATCATCTGTGGTAGCAGCACTAGACATCTTCCAGGCATGTGAGTGAAACTAGCAGCAGTTCAGCGGACAGGAAGCATAAATAATAGCCGTCGCGTGTATGACGTCATCCGCACACAGCGGCTACCATTCATTCATCCTCTAAATGGAATTGAACGATTCAGATCAGCTAGCCGAATGAATATAAGGGTTAGAGTGTAGCCGCCTGTGGCCCGGGCTGCCTGTTACGACTCCAGTCCGCATGCACGGATGATGTCACACACGCGCCGCTTTGTTTTTAAAACATTTAAATATAAAAATATAACCGTGGATGTCTGGGGGACAGTGATTCCCCTACATGTTATTAATGCTGGCATACCATAAATCAGTGTTTTTCAACCCTGGTCCTCAAGGCACACCGCTCTGCGTGTTTTGGATGTTTCTGGGCTTCAGCACACCTGATTCAGAAGATTGCCATTCAGCAAAGCCTGATAATCTGCTATCAATTGATAACAGGTGTGTGAAAGCTGGGAAACATCTAAAACATGCAGGGCAGTGTGCCTTGAGGACCAGGGTTGAAAAACACTGCCATAAATGATAAATTATGACCAGTTTAGGTTGTACCTTCAAGTCGACTGCCAATGTGTCATTTGGAGCCCAGAGCTCCAAATGACACAAAGCTTATATGGGTGAGTAGAAAATGATGTAATAACGTAAATTCAAGGGCCCAATGTAAAAAAAAAAAACGGCCTTTCACCTTTAACTTTATAGAGCACTTTGGTTTTCACAATGGATGGAGTAGTCGAACATTTAACTGAGGTAAAAATGAAAGTAAAGTGCAGTAAAACTACTCCAAGAAGTAGATATTTGTAGATCTCTGTAAGTGAGTAAATGTAACTAGTTACTTCCACCTCTGGCTCTGCCCAGCTATTGGAACTGGTTCAGCATCCAGCCCCATTTTGGTTACTGAGGCAGTTTAACCCTTTGATTCAGATCTTGTCCCTTTGGACCTCATTATATGATTGTTTTCTTTATGATTTATTCCAGTATTCAGACATTGGTGAAGATCAGTAAAACTGCAGGTGCCCGGCTAAAGCCTCATGCTGCTCGGTTGATTCCAGCCCTGCTGGAAGCCCTCAGCACTCTAGAGCCGCAGGTCCTCAACTACCTCAGTCTCAGAGCCACTGAGCAGGAAAAGGTAAACCTCCTCTGTCTGGACTGTGAGTTATCCAGAAGTCCAGCTTGAGCTCATAAGATGTGTTGGCTCTTCCTCTGCAGAGTGCCATGGATGCTGCAAGGCTTAGTGCTGCCAAATCTTCTCCAATGATGGAGACAGTCAACATGGTAAAACGAAATGAAATGCTCAGAGTAGAATCGCTTCTACTAATCATTGAGGGCTTAAGCTGTAAATGCATGTCTTCTTTTAGTGTCTGCAGCATCTGGATGTTTCTGTGCTGGGAGAACTGGTTCCCAGACTCTGTGAGCTGCTTAAAAGTGGAGTAGGCTTGGGAACAAAGGTAAACATGTAGACATACGTACAGCAGATACTTCTTAACTACACGGGGTTTGATCTGTTATACTGGTGAACATTTGGTGTCTCCTTTTTGATTAGGGAGGCTGTGCAAGTGTCATTGTGTCCCTTACAGTGCAATGCCCCCAGGACCTAACCCCATACTCGGGTATGACAAAACGCTCCCGTCCGTTTTGTTGTCTGTTAAATGTTGAAGCTGAAGAAATTGATGGCTTTTAACCTGCAGGTAAACTGATGAGTGCCCTGCTCAATGGCATTCATGACAGAAGCACAGTGGTACAGAAAGCCTTTGCCTTTGCTTTGGGACACCTGGTCAGGGTAAGCCCCTCTGCTAACAGGAAGCTTTAGGAATATAATTAAGCCATAGCTTAGCCTTAATCACAGACTTTATCAATTCTAATATTTCTTTTCCCACAGACAGCAAAGGACAGCAGTGTAGAAAAACTACTACTGAAGCTCAGCAACTGGTACTTGGAGAAAGAAGGTGGGTCTGCGAGGGAAAGTAAAACCATAGGTTCACCTTAGGGACTGATCATTTACCAGTATTTGTTTAAAGTAGTAATAAAATAATAAGACATTGCAAATATGCAAAGTTCCTCATACCTCTTTTAGTTTTTCCCATTTGTTCACATAACCAAAAACTTCAGTACATTTCAATAGGAACTGGAAAGCTCTGTTTAATTCATTCATTTTCAAATGACATTTTGGATTCTTTTTTAATTTAATTTTCTTAAAATTGAATTCTATGAAGTTTTGGATGCAGTTTCATTTCCATCCAATTTGATATCTGCTGATTCAGATATTCCAATTCCAGAACTTTATTATTATTTCCTATATTAGGCTTTAAAACTCCCTACAGTATCTCTACATATACATATTTCTCCCTGAAGGCAGCTTTAAGCAAGATGTAAAAAAAACAAGAAAAACTATCATCATATAAATATAAAATTGTTATAGTGTCATATCGATTTTAGGCCACTCTGATACCCCTGCATGAAACCAAGGGTTAAAACTAAATACATAATTCCAGCTTCTGTGTGAAGGTTTCAGCAGTTTGTTAGAAATCATAAATGAACAAATGGTTTTATTAACATCAACGAAAACGACTGGAAGATCAGGGTAAAAGGTCACACACAGAGATGCACGGCAGGATATTTGGTTTTTCCTGCAGGGAAACCTGTAAGATGCTGCAAAAGAATTGAGAATGGAGTCGAGGTTCACCTCCACTTAAAGCCAAAGCTTTATGTGGAGGTGATGGAGTGGAATGGGATTAATATCTCGAAGTAATAGTTATTTGCGATAATGGCCAAATAAAAGAAAGAACTAATCAAATAAAAACCATCCTGTTACTTTAAATGCACAATAATCCAGTAAAATGTATCGAAGTGTAAACAAAAGTTTGTTATGCAATGTTATCTTTTTTGCTCCCCCAGAACCAGTTTACAAGTCATCGTGTGCGTTAACAGTGCACGCCATCAGCCATTACAGCCCAGATGTGCTGAAGGCCCACGCAGGCGTGGCCCTACCGCTGGCCTTCCTCGGCATGCATCAGGCCCCGGGTCCTGACGAGGAGAAAGGGGAGGGTCATGATGCCACTCTGTGGTCGGAGGTGTGGCAGGAGAACGTTCCAGGTGAGCAGCTGAGTCATATAACTAACGACCAAAAATTCATACTGATCATCAGGTGATTAATCTGGATCCAGCAAATGGAAACAAATGTTTTTATACCGCTTCCAATGAATAATTAATAAAGTTGATACCTCTAAAATAAGCAATGCTGTAATGACATATGAAAGATGGTTGCCTGATTCTTGTATTTAGCAAAACAATAACCTGGAAACTTAATTTTTTTACTGATCCCAGGGAGCTTTGGGGGCATCAGGCTCTACATGACAGAGCTGATCACCATCACCCAAAAAGCCCTGCAATCTCAGTCCTGGAAGATGAAAGCTCAGGGTGCGGCTGCCATGGCAACTGTTGCTAAAGAACAGACGGGGTCATTGGTGGCGCCGCACCTTGGTTTGGTGCTGACGGCTTTGATGCAGGGACTGTCTGGGCGAACATGGGCTGGAAAGGTTGGTGAAGCTTCTGTTGTTTGAAGAAAACTCAGCAAACAGCTTAGAGTTATTTATCATTTATTCTTTTTGTTTAGGAGGAGCTGCTGAAAGCCATTGGATCCGTGGTGTCCAAGTGCAGGTCAGTGCTGAACGTTAACCAGGTCTCCTGTGTAGTCCAGGAAAATATCCATGTTATTATCAAGCTTTGACGTTTGGACTGTTTTCTGCAGGCGTAGATAAATCCCTACCTCTGTCCAAACCATCCATCAGCCTTTGCTTTGGAGAGCTGTTTCTTTAAAAATGAAATAAATCAATAAATAAATACTGCTATTGTTAAATTATTAATACATATTTTATGAAATAAATTTAACCCTGATGTTAAACAAAATATTTTAAGACATTCTAAACTTTTATTTATTTTAAAATTTAGTTTTAGTTCTTTTTTTAACCTTTTATTTTGTAAAGCTATACATATTTCAGGGACCGTTTTACTTGTGAGCTCTTTTTATTTCATGTTCTTATATTAAAATAAGGGGGCGGGGTTTTATCTGTGGGGCAGCGCTGGGGTGCTGAGTACGGGACATGGACATGATGTTTGCCACTCTTATCAGCTTCTCTGAATAAGTCCGGGATGCTTCTGTTTTCAGACATTTTAAATCAGTTGAAGATCTTCAGAAAGATTAGAAGCATTCTGCAAAAAAGGCCGCCAAAAATTGTCTTCATTACTTTTCTACCTCTCCTGCTTCTTCTCCCGTTCGTTATTTTGCAAGCTAGTTCCTGTTTTCCTCTCAATCAGCGACCTCGCCTGCGCAGAGATAAAACCCCGTCACTTTCAATATAAGAACGTAAAATAAAAACAGCTAAAAATAGAAAACGGAGTTAAAAAAATAAAAGCCACTCTATAAAGTAGCTTTACAAACTAAAAGTATCAAAAATATTAAACTCAGTTGCGAAATAAATAAATTAATCTGGAATTAAATAAATCAATCTTGAAATAGAATAAGATAAAATGTCTTTTTAAATATTTATTTAGTTTGACTTCATGGTGACGTTTAATTTAAAGAGTATTAATTTATCAATAGCAGCCTTTATTTATACAAGTATAAATAAATCCATTTTAAAAATCTAGTTAGAAAAAAGGAAAAGCAATTTTGATGTTTAAAGTTGTATAAAAGTTGTACTGACACATTTTATCTGTGGAGTAAAAACTGCTACTTTCTTTTAATTTGCTCCTCTTCTGCTTTTAGTGCGGAGCTCAGGAAGCCCTGCAGCGGCCAGCCCACCATCCCTGAGGTGCTGGATGTTGTGTTGAAAGAATGTCGTAAAGAGAACCTGGTTTACAAAATGGCTGCCCTGCGCTGTGCTGGAGATGTTCTCCAAAGCAGCCAGGAGGACCGTTTCAGGGACATGGCTGACATCCTTTTCCCTCTGATCAAGAAGGTTCATTTCTAGATTCCAATGCTTATCATAAGACTGTTTCTAATAAGACTTCAGAAAAAAGTTTAATCCCATGTTTTAATAATAGAGCTGTCCAGAGAGCGGCGGTGCCTCTCCCAGATCTATGGAAGATGATGATGATGATGACGACGATAAAGGTGTGAAAGATAAGGCGCTACAAACTGAAGCGATGCTCTGTGCTTTTGAAACACTTGGAAAGACATGGCCAAGAAACCCACAAACTCAAGGTAGCCATATCTGTTCTCCTTATTGGATTCCCATGAAGCTGAACTGAAGATGCTGAATCTTCTCCATGTTTGCAGCCCATTTCCAGTCCGATCTGTGCACCCTGATGTCTGGGAAGCTTAAACTGAGCACATGGAAGGTGCAGCTGGCTGTTCTTCAGGCCATGAAGGCATATTTTGAGGGGTCAGAAACCAAAAGCAGTACTTGTTTTATTCTCAAAGTCTTCAGTGTTGAGTTATTCTGGAGCCTAAAAACTGATTTTTATTTTATTTTTTCATCCGTGTAGTTTGTTGTTGCTTGAGAAGGGTAACGGGGAGATGAATGCACTATCACAGATCCTCACTGAAGCCTGTACTGCTCTCACATATCCTTTAGGTAAGGAAACCATTCGATATCTGTTGGCTTTAATGAAAACCTGATGTTCCCGTATTTCACAGCCTCTTTATGTTTCACTTTCTCTTCAGAAAATAAAAGCTACTCCTCAGTGAGGACAGAGGCCTTATCTGTTGTGGATCTGATCGTTAAGAGAACAGGAGGTAAGATTGTTGGATTGCTGCTCCGGGGTCTCATTTGTAAAGCTTGATTAAGCACAAAGCAGGGCCTAAAACTTGCATATGTCACTTTTCACATGAACTTTGTGATCTAAACCTGAAAACAGGGAGTCCCTTATGACTCTGACCCATCCTTATGGGGTACGCACGTTTTTTAGGAAAGGGAAAAATTCCAAATAAGATTTAGAGGTGGGCAATTGAAGCCATGTCATAATTCTACGCAGGTATTTCATCATAGATCGACATGTTCTCTGTTCATCACAGGTGTTAAAATAAACAGGGTCAGTTTGCATAACCAGTGTAGGAAAAAGGGAAGGGTAGCAGGATGCAAAGTTCTAAAGGCACAATATAATATATGACTAAATTCTAGGTATATGTAAATTATATATTTAATAAGGGCAAAAAAATAGATGTGCCTTATGCCACTGTCAGATTATTAACAGGATTATGTATCTATAGAATTGCACATATCATCCAGTAGCTGATGTAATATTGCTCATGGAGGTAAGATCTCATACCTTCCTATAAACTCCATAACCTAGCAAACCTAATCTCTTTCTCTCACTCAGCCACATGACTGTGTCCAAATTCTCTATTTTCTACATTAGATTCATCAGCTGCATTTCAATTAACCATCAAATTACGCAAACTGTAATTAAGAAAATAAATTTGCAAAATGGAGACTTAGATTTAGACAGTACTTTATTGATCCCTTGGGAAGACTCCCTCTGGAAATTAAGGTTACCAGCAGCTTACAGGGCAAAAAAGTATTAAGTTAAAGTAAGTTAAAATTAAGCAAAAAAAAAAAAGAAAAAAAGACAGTGATATTTTAAAAACAACAAACATATTTTTTGAGAGAGATTTTACTCTTGATGGGTTTTTTTTTCTGCCGCATTGAAATTATTATACTTTGCAAAACTGCCATCCCAAGCCATGTTGCAATGCCGTATAGTTAACTTGTAAACAAACGTATTAATGTGCAAATTTAATGGAAATACTGTGATTGCGTTTTTTTTTTAACCAACTTTTGCTCATTTGTAATAGAAAAACAAACTACTAATCTAGTGGGAGAGACTGGTGTCATACCCTGATTGTGAGCTATTTAGTTGTAAATGGTGCAGGGATCTGATCAAAGATAATTAATTCCATGATGCATAGTGCTGTTGCATGGAATATTCTTATAAGTTTTCAAAAATCAAACCGTGTCAGAAGGGTATATTTACATAAGGTTTCAATAGAATACATTTATATTTGTGGTTGTAATGTGACAATATGTGCAAAAGTTCAGAGGGTATGAATACTTTTGCAAGTCTCTGTATGTGGCCGTGTCACATGCTTGTCAGGAGGCCAAGCAGTCTTGGAAGTCGGACCCAAACTGGTTGAAAGAAGTTCATGCTCTCAAGAGTTTTCAGCTGACAAAACTTTAAAAATTTTTCCTGGTGCAGGACATCAACCAAACCACACCAACTAAGAACAATTGCAGACATGTTTTTTATATAGAGGAGGAACTAAATTGGAAGAAACCATTTTTAAAAGGATGTTCAGCTTCACAATAAGAAGAAAAGGAAAATTTGGTTTTAACAAACTAATAAAGAAAATACTTTTACCAATAAATATAGAAAACAAATATTTTAATTCAATCCAAATAAATACTCAAACTCAATATAGAAAACCCCAACATCAGATCAACCTCCCCCCCTTCAATTATCCAATGGTGCAGTCCTGTACACACCTGCTTCGAAGAGTGAAACAGCAGAGATATTTCACAATATTTTAACTCCTTAATCCATGAATTTCCCTTTTATGAATAGTTAAACAAAAACAAAATATTGTAAAGTGAAATCAATTTACCATTTTACAAAAATGAAAACAAGATGTGGCCAACCAAAAAAACCACAACCCAAACAAACCCACTTCACCCAAAACAACAAAAATAAACCAATGTAGAAAACCAGATGCTGTGTTTAGCTGCTACTTTGGCCAATATACAGGTAACAATGGCTCATTGATACAGGCCGCTAATTTGTAACTGTGTTTTTTATACAAACAGAGAGCGAGCAGTGGGACTGCATGTCTGCAAGGAGCCGTGAGCAGCTGCAGCGCTCGCTGTCAACGCTGCAGTCCGACAGCCGCCCTGAGCTGAGGGATAAGGCCCAGGAGCTGCGCAGACGCATCCAAAGCCAACCCTGAGCCAGCGTCTTTTATGAAACATGTTCATCAACAAAACAAACCACCTGCTAGTACATATCTTTCTGATTTATCTGTGATACATTTGTGTTGTTATAATCTACTCATTGAATCCATCTAGTCTGTGACGGTGCTCTGGTTGAACATGTCAGGATGCAAAGCTCCAACAATAATGAGTGAAGTTTCATTTGTTTGGTTCATTTTAGTGGAAAGTGAGTTGATGAGAAATGTTTTAGAAACCAGTGTGCCGGCTATGTGGACACTATAAAGCTTTAGCCCCAGAATGGGGATTTTACTACTGTTGTTGGTTTGTCTTGATAATAAACGTCATTCTCTGAACATCAGCCATGCAGAAGGCTGAGTGCAAAACTTCACTGCTGTATAGTGGGGAAGTTTGTTTTTCATGTGCTAAAACTACGTGCCAGGTGAATGAGATATTATAAAGCCTGAAAAGAAGAGAGAGCCTGCTGTTAACTTAAAGGTGATGCGATAGTTGTTTGAATTTGTCTATCATGAAATAAAACTTTGGACCACTGACCCCATTTTGACTTGTTGACGTGTTTATTTCTGCAGGCTTGTTTGATTCCACAGAATCAAGTTTATTGAGTAAGTAGGTTTGCACTTTCAAAGAATTTGACTTGGTGTTGACAGTGCAGACAAAATATATACAGAATTTATAATCTATAGCTGTATAAAATATACTATATGCAATATATAGTATCTAGCTATGTACACAGTCGACTGTGTGTTTATGTAACGCAGGAGGTCTGGAGACGCTACGTTGGTGTAGCTTCTAGGTCCTGAACGGGGGAGGGAGAAAGACCGCGACGGTGTCATAGGGGTCTCTGGGCCTTGTTGATAAGGCTGGTAGCAGATGGGAAGAAACCGTTCTTGTGGCGTGAGGGTTTGGTCCTAGTGGACCACAGAGGGAAGTGACTGAAATAGTTTGTGGATAATAATAGTTTACAAAATGGTGCATTAGGCTGCACTTTAAAATATAAAACTATCTACAGCTGTTCTAAATGAAATAATTTTTTGTTAACACTCGTGTATACAAAATGAGAAAATAAATCTAAGTCTAACATTCCACATGTAGTGAGATATCGAATCCATTTCAGAGCCATGAAGTGAATTGAATGCATGTCTTACCTTTAGAAGAGTCTCAAGCAGCAACATGTTGCTGAACTTTCTATTTTCTGTTGCATTTTATTTCAATAGCAGCATAATCTCACATAAAGCTCACTGACAGTTTTTTTGTTTTTACAAAATTGCATCAAATTAAATCAGTGTCCCTTGGATACCAACATGCCAGTTGCAGGTGTAGAGACCAATTGTTCTGTCATTAGAAAATAAAAAGGAAACTTATATAATGATATACCCTAATAATAGGAACAATTACTTAGAAGTAACAACAAATGTAGTAATTTTGTGAAAAAATAGATTTGGATAACAGCTGACTGATTGCACTAGACTCGATGTGACTTTTCTAAATCACTCATACAAGCAATTTAATAATGAATTTGTTCATATGTTTGCCTCTTGCATGAGGATCATTAAATCTAAACCAGAGGAACTTTTGGTACTTGGAGTTTTATAAGTAGATTGTTATAGTTTCCTAGATGTAGTTTGATTGAGGCCACACGTTCTGATGATGATAATGTTCGGTTACCTGTATGCTCTCATCCTAACACACCAGTCATTACTATCAAAATAACATTTTCTTAGCAGGTGATAGAAAACCCTGGACGTTTTGCTGGTTGTAAATCAAATTTGTTTTTATTTTTCATAGCTCACATAGTAATAACACTTAGTATCAAAGGAAAACTTTTAACCAAGTGGAAGTCATAATCTGATTGTTTGCAGCCAAGTCAATTAAACTGTATTTAAAGGCATCTTACAGCTGGAAACCTGTCTGAACTTCAGCCTCCCCTGCATCTATCCAACCTGGCATCTTTTTCAATAACTACAAATCAAATAAAATCATAACATTTTTGATAGTGTCCTTGTTTGATGGGGGAGTTGGAGGCTAGTGATTAACAAGTTCCCTGTTTGAAATCCCACAGCCTTCCATAGTTAGTCCCTGAGCAAGAAGATTAGCCTCAGAATATTCCGCAAAGGCTGATGGGATCAACTTGAAAGACACATTTCACTAGAGTCTATAGCAGTGTTTTTCAACCCTGGTCCTCAAGGCACACTGCCCTGCATGTTCTAGATCAGGCATCCCCAAACTCGGTCCTCAAGGCCCCCTGTCCTGCAGGTTTTAGAGGTTTCTCTGCTTCAGCACAGCTGGTTATAATGATTGCAGTAGACCAAAAGCCTGTTAATCAGCTTTCAATTAAAATCAGCTGTGCTGGAGCAAGGAAACCTCTAAAACCTGCAGGACAGGGGGCCTTGAGGACCAAGTTTGGGGATGCCTGATCTAGATGTTTCCCAGCTTCCACACACCTGTTATCAATTGATTGATTATCAGGCTTTGCTGAACTGCAATCATCTGAATCAGGTGTGCTGAAACTCAGAAACATCCAAAACATGCAGAGCAGTGTGCCTTGAGGACCAGGGTTGAAAAACACTGGTCTATAGTGCTGCAACTATAATGATGTTGGCTGTAGAGCTGCCAGCAGGAGTCAAAGGGATTTCTGGTTTGAGCCACAAACTGAGCTGAGATTCTGCTCTGATGTTTCAGTTGGAAGTTTTAAACACCTGAAATATCTGAAAAAAGGTTTGTAATAAAAAAAAAAAAGGTTTACCGACTCCAATAACTCTATGCACAGATGAAACCTAGAATTCTACAGCACAGTTTTATAACCAGAGGTTAAATAAAGTGTACCTTAAGGTATAATGGGGATGTTCTAATAATTGGTCCTTCTAATTGTCAATCATTCTGGTGATATGTTTATGTAAGGCTGTCCTATGTGCTCGTCCCCATTTTCACTTACAGGTGGCGAGTCTGACATGGTGGAAAAATTGCAAATAATCTTGTGGAAAGTAAGCTTGTATGAGCGATGCAAACAGCAACTTTTAAACAGAGCGTGCACAAGGAGAAATTGGCTTGTGCACGCTCTCCCATGCGTTCAGTAGGTGTTCCCTCTCAGGTGCGGGTACAGGGTTGTGCATTTGCATTTTTTTTAAGTGGAGAGGGCAGGTGTTTTCAAAAATCCTCCACTATACCTTTAAGTAAGAGCTGCACTACCTTAACATATTTTTATTCAAGTAAAAGTTAAAAGCAGGAGACCAAGAAAATATTCCAGATTGTAGAAGTATTAATCAAATGCTGAGTAACTGATCAACGCATCTGTGATGTAAGAAATTACTGCCAAATATAAATTACTAGTGTTTTATATACTAAACTAAAATACGAATAAAAAAATAATTGGAAAATACACTGAGGCAGAAGAAACACTTTCAAATCTTTTGGTTTCCCAAAATATATTAAAAATAACATTACAACAAAAAAATGTTTACCAAGAAAAAAAAATGCAACTTTAGTGAAACACGCTGCTTCAGAGAGATTTCAGGTTAAAATGGGATTTTTCTTTGTTCAGTTAAGTTACTACAACTGGGTAGTTATACTTTTATTAATCAGAGGAGGGTTACTTGTTACATTTACTCTGTTACTTGCTTGTGTAACTTTTATTTAAATTATGTACTTGTAGGAGTAGAATTATCTAATTTGTACTTTTTATTGAGTGAAAACAAAGTACTTGAGTAACAGTTCTGGCTACTCTGCCCATTTTGAACGACTTCACCCAAACCTCAACATAAAGTTTGGATGTTTTTTGGTCCCATCAGTTTCTTTTCCTTAATACTTCCGGTTTACCCACAAAAAAAAAAAAAAAGACAAACCATCCAGCGATTAGAGTTTGACCCATTTTATTTACAAAAAAAATACATAGAGAGCTATCAGATGCACATATATAAAAAGGAGCGAAAAGCTAAACACTGGATAGAAAATAAGGAACATTTATCCAGGATTTCTAATAGGAGACAAAGACGTGTGGATTAGGCAGAAAAAGCAGCACTTCAGCTGATGATCTGTTTATTCCTCTTGTCCTTCTGACGAATCTTGTCTTGGCTTTTAAGGGGAACGTTGGCGTCGCTCTGGCTCAGTGCAGTCCGCGACACCGTGGACATGCCGTCGACAAACTTGGTCTTGAACAGGACGTTGGCGTTTGTGAACATGCCGTCTTTTAGGGACACCACAATAAACTAAAGGAGTCAGAAACAAACATTTTCAGCGGATTTAAGAGAGCCTACATTTCATTCTGCAGTGGATTAAACAAGATTTGAAGAGGCTTTATAGAAACTTTATTCTATTTTTATCAGAAAACACATGCTGGCTGTTTGATGAATGTGTGTCACTACCCGATCTCTACCATCAGCTCGTTTTCGCAGAGCAACCAGATATAGATCAGAGTCGCACTCGATTTTAATTTGTAAAAAAATACCCAAGTTAAATTTTTTTTTTCTTAAAAATAGTAAGCGTGCTAAACTATAATGTATTAAAGGTTAATTATCTATTTCCTGATAAAATAATAGCATTTAAATCCTGTTTCATCACTCGTCTGTACTAGAAATGGGATCCTACGCCACTTCTGGAAGCAAACTTTTTCGGCTTTAGATTTAAACATAAATCTAGTCTTTTTGAGTTTTATTTTTTTCTTTTGTGTTAACATGATAGTATATAATGCGTAACCTAAAGAAAAAGAAAAGATAAATATGGTTTTATCATATTTTGCCGGACTGCTCTGAGCATGTCCGATGATGTCAGACAAAGAGTTTAAAGGAGAAAATGTAAAATGCATCAAAATTGTATCACATAATTCAAGAAAAATGTTTTAAAGATTTATATTAGCATTCTTTAGTGATTTAAGCATAAAAATAAGTACTTTCAGAACCATAATTGCATTATTTTTGGTGAACTGGATGAATATCTGCTTGCACATGCACATATGAGCCGATGGTACAGATCATTCTTCAGGTAGGGATCGGGTAGTGACAATTACACCATGAAGGACGTTTTATGCAAAGACTATATAAAAAAGGGCAACTGGTTGCCATATGAAAGGATTGGAAAAAGGTCCCATCGATTTGTTTTAAGTTACCTGTGAGTGTGTGAAATGTGTACGCAGCATCTGTCCGATGTTCTGTGTGTGAGACAGGTCCAGAGCTGCGTCCACCTCGTCCAAAATGTAGATAGGAGCCGGTTTGAAAAGCAGCATGGCCAGGATGAGAGACAAAGCAACAAGGGACCTGGTGGAGAGAGACGGGAAACAGAAATGAAAACGTTCCAGACAGATAGATAAGAAGGAAGGCAGCTGTGTAGGTTTACCAACCTTTGGCCCCCACTGAGCTCAGTCAGGTTCTCCTTCCAGGTGTCGCCCAAGGCCACTTTAAACTCAAGGCCGTCCAGGACGCCACATCCCTGAGGAGGAGCCAGCTTGGCCGTGGCTCCGGGCAGCAGGGTGGAGAAGATGGAGCCAAAGTCCTTGTTTACCTGCAGAGGGAGGTTTAAAAAAGAGATTGACGAGGGTAGCAGCTGCGTAGCAATAACTTACTGCAATCACAAAACTGGTGTCTTCTTGGATAAATACATAAAGAAAGAATATTAAAGTTTATTTCCATATCAAAACTTGAAAAAATATTGATTTAAACAAATTAAAAAACAGTAAATCTATGGAGGTTAGTTGTGTTTTACATCCAGGGAACGAAAAGCAGACCTTCTGCCACGCCAGGTTCAGAGCCTCATTCTTCTTCTGGTCCAGCTCCTTGATGGTCTGCAGGATCTTAGCCTTGTCGTTCTCTACGATTCTCTTCTTCTTCATCAGATCGTTGTACTGGAAGGATACGGTTTGAGGGGGAGGTTAGAAGGAGAAATCTGTGTGCAGAGATCCTGCCTTTTTAGGACTAAACCTTTAAAACTTTGCATGTACCGTAATTTTCGGACTATAAGCCGCAACTTTTCCCCCCATTTTCCGACCTTACGGCTTATATAACAATGGCGCTTATCTATGGACTTTTACCGCTAACGGCCACTAGGGTAATACGGTACCTAAATCTATGGATTTTACCATCCAACACGTTGACGTCACATTTGCTTCAACACACAAGTAGCCGCGCGCGGGAATGCGGACGTCCTCTGGAAGCAGACTCCGAGAAAGACGGACATTGCGAGCGCAAGACAGTTTGTGTGACGACCTCATTATGGAAAACAAACGTTGAAATGCATATGATGCAGCTTTTAAGTTAAAGGCAGTCAATTTGGCAGTAAACAAAAGAAATAGAACCGCTGCAGGTAACCTTGGAATCAACCAGTCAATGGTGAGACGTTGGAGATGCCAGCAGGAAGAATTGTCTTAATTCATTTGTGTTGAAATGTTAATAAATAGGAGCTTCCCCAAACACGAACCACATGGTAATTAAACATAAAAAACCAGCGGCTTATAGTCCGGTGCGGCCTATATATGTACAAATCATGCAATTTAGCTTCTGCTGTTTATATTCAGTTGCGGCTTATAGTCCGAAAATTACGGTAGTCATTTGTTTCCGGCTGAGTATGTGGATAAGGGAAGAAAAGGATGAGGAGACAAGGATACATCTATTGGATGGGCCAGAGATTTAAGTCTAAAAGTAAGAATCTTGTTTCAGAGCTTGTTTATACCTGGAAAACACTTCAACCACCCGCTCTATTCCTCACCCTTTCCTCCGCCTCATTCAGCATGTTCATGGCCCTCTTATTGACGTTCCTTTCCAGCTTGCTTGTGGTCTCCTCCAGCTTCTTCAAGCGCTGACCCGCTTCGCGGGGGTTGTTGGTCTTAAAGTCGTAGGATGTGTTGGGCTGGCCGAAGAACTGCCGCTCCGAATGGATCCAGTCGTGTTCCTCCAGCATCCGACTAACCTGAAAAAAAGAAAACAACCAAGTTACGTTGAAACTTCCAGGTTGGGAAAGGAACGGACGCTGTGATAGATGGACAGGATGGTGGTCAGATTGAGCGTACCTTGTCAGCGGCGTCCTGGCTCTCTTTGTGATGCTTGTTGATGTTGTGTTCCAGCTCCTTAATCTTCAGCTGGGCTTCGTTGTTCTTCTCCCTGATCCTGTTGACTTCTGTGCTTTTCTCCTGCAGCATTCAGAGAGAGAGAGAGAGATGGCGGGGAGAGTGATTACTTAGCTCCTGGCAGAATGGTGAACGGAGGTTTTTACAGACCCGGAACGTTCAAATCAACGCTTTAATCACCTTGAGGTTTTTGTCTTTAGCCATGATCACTTCCTTCTGTTTGGTCACCTCCTCCTGGGCCTTTCGCACAGCCTCCTACACGACAAATAAAGAGTCCGTGTCAGTCAGTCGCCTGTAATTAAACCTTGTGGCTGTATTTTGATCAAATATGGAGTTAAAAGGGTGTGAATACTTTGAGAATTTAAGAAAATCATTTTTAATAAATGCAGAATTGGCATGCAGTTAATATTAACAGGATGCAGAGTTTCAAGTTCAGCATAAATGGATCAAATACATCAAAATGCCCGACATTCTCCATTGAACAGCACCTTGTTCTGGGACACGGTACAAGCAATGCTGTCGATCTGCTCCTGGATGGCCTTCATGGCCTCGTCCACCGCCTGGATCTGCTGCTCGTAGCCAGCCTGCTCCCTCTGCAGCTCCTCCAGCTCCAGGGCCACAGCGTCAGACTCCTGGAGAGCAAACATCCCACAGGAGCATCACAATCAGCCAGTTATCATCAATCAAGTTCCCAGAGATCTCATTTGTTTTACTAGTTTTTAAACATAAAAGAGAAAAGAAGCAAATCCTGGGGCTGCACCGTGTTGCTAAGTCTGTAGCAGTGTTGCCTTGCAGCAAAAAGGTTTTGGGTTCCATACGGGGTCTTTCTGAATAGTTTGCATGTTCTCTCTGTGCATGCGTGGGTTCTCTCTGGGTACTCTGCTTCCTCCCACAGTCCAACAACATGACTGTTGGGTTAATCGTCGTCTCTACCTTGTTCTTTGGTGTGAGTGTATGTGTGCATGTTTTTTTACTCTTTGTGATCCCCTGTGAGAGACTGTTGACCTGTGCAGGGTGTAACCCGCACCACCTCTACCTCGTCCCTGACGGAATCAGAGGGAGAGGGAGGATTGATTGTATTTTACAAATAAGGAAATCAAGGAACTAATAAAAAAAAAGACATTAAGTGTGGCAAGAAGGACAACTTCTACACAGCCTGAGCAGCACCCAATGCTGATAAGCTAACTCTGAGACTGACACATTTATATGTCTTCTCTACAAGACCATCTACTTCATTCCAATATCCACCAACCACAGCTCTAATAAGGTGCCAAAAAGCACTCAGATTGCCAAAATGTATTTTATGACCAAGTATGTGTTCTGGTGGGTCTGGTTTCAACAGCACATAGAGCACCAAATGATGCTTTGCTAATGAAAGCCAACAAGACACTGAATCAATCAGTAAAACTCATGAGCTAAACTGATGATTTGCAGCTGCCTGCCACTCCAAAAGCTTCAACAAAGCACAGAAAATCTGTTTTATCTTTGCCTCTTCATTTTTTTTTCCCATTAGAAGAAATTGTTATCAGAATAAAAAGTCAGTTTCTGGAATATATCCGACTGACAGCTTTTTAGTCAGGTAAGAGTTTCTTTGCCTCACCCGCAAACTGTGCTACAGCATGCCCATATATGGAAACCATACCTGTGCACAAATCATGATCACCTCTGCTTCTCTCCTCTGTCATTCGCTGGGCCCTGTTCATCTCATTATTGGAGTCTGAAGAATGCAACCTTTCCAAAAAACTATGAAGCTCCCTGATTGGACAAACTGTTATTTAGATACGCCTTCAAGTGTCTATTGAGCTTAGCTTTGTATAAAATGTATAAACAAAAAGTGCTGCAAAAAGATTTTTGGAATGGAAACTGTAGTTTTATAATCATATATATATATATATAAGCATTTCAAAATTTAAATTTCAAGAATGAATTCCCAAATTTCAGACATAATGCCTAAGTGCGCCCAAATGGCACTGTAAAGGTCCGCATGGATTTATTTTTTTTTCCAATCCAAACATGTATAACTTGTCAGTTGCTTGTTTAAAGGACACCAAACTTTCTACATAAGGAACCAAGATGTTTTAGTTACAGTTTATTACGTTTATTTCCTTTCGTTACAAGAAAAGTAAGAAGTTTTTTATGAAAATCTGTTTGATGTTTTTAGGTAGAACTTATTTTTTGGCCATTTAAATCCAAGGCCCAGACTTTAAAATAGGCCCAGAAAAATTCACTTATACTTCATCCTTAAGGACCTTTATGCCTGTTGATAACAAAGTGATAAACACCTTATAAAGTATGAGTGTTTCTTTTGGAAGACAGGCCTGCAGGGATAGAGAATAAAGGCTGCAATCCAAAATAGTTTTACTAATCATGGGATATACTTGAGTAAAAATGAGTGTTTTTCCAGACTGTAGGAACCCTGGAGGATGCCTTTTTTTTAGCTAACGTCTACATGCTTGCTCGGTGTTACCTGCTGCTTTAGCTTCAGCTTCTTGTTGAAGGCGTCTGCTTTGGCCTTGGCTGTGTTCAGTTTCTGCTGGGCTGCTTTCAGCTCCTTCTCCCTCTCCGCCTCGGCATTTTTCATTTTGTTCTCCAGCACCTTATATTTCTCCTCGGCCCGCTTCTGTACCTCCTTGGTGATGCGCAGAGTCTCCTCGCTCTCCTCTGATCAAACACATCACCCCCCCAGAAATGAGCTTCTTACAGGTTTGGCACGAACGGCATAGACCTTAACAGAACCGTGTGTGTTTGTGTTCTGACCAATGGCCTTGCGCAGCCTCTCCAGCTCCTCCTGCTGCTGGTGGAAGGAGCTCTGCTGCACCTTGGCCTGCAGGATCTGCTCCTCCTCCACCTTCAGCTCGTGCTGCTGCTTTAGCTGCCGGTACCTGAAAAGATTGATGTCAGATTGGAAAATCTGATTCACATGCTAAGATTTCCGAGGCCAAAACAAATCGAGGTGTGTAAAGACACATCGGGTTACCGTAATTTTCGGACTATAAGCCGCACCTGAATATAAGCCGCAGAAGCTAAATTGCATGATTTGTACATATACAAACCGCACCGGACTATAAGCCGCAGGTTTTTTATGTTTAATGTCCGTCTTTCTCGCCGTTGCTCTGTCTTGTACCACTCGCAGTAGGACTCTGCTTCCGGAGGACCTCTGCATTCCCGCGCGCGCAGCTACCATACTTGTGTGTTGAAGCAAATGTGACGTCAACATGGTGGATGGGAAAATCCATAGATTTAGGTATTACCCTAGTGGCCATTAGCTGTAAAAGTCCATAGATAAGCCGCATTGTTATATAAGCCGCAAGGTCGAAAAATGGGAAAAAAAGTTGCGGCTTATAGTCCGAAAATTACGGTATTCAGGTTCAAGTCCTTTAATGAGAAGATGCCTCTTCCCCACAGTGTCAAACAGCAGTTATTATTTTTCTGCCAACATGAAATAAAATGGATTATGTCAAAAATCCGATAGCCTTTTATGTCTGGCAGCTGAATCCACAGCGAAAGCACATAGAAATCACGCTAAATTCTGTGCTGGGTTTGAAAGCTGCTTACTTCTCGGCGGTTCCTTTAAGGCCGGCCAGCTGTCGTTCGACGTCCTGCAGCTGGGCCTCTTTCTCGTCCAGCTCGTCCTGGACGTCCTTCACCTCCTGCAGGCTTGCCAGAATGGACGCCGACTGAGAGCGAGCACCTGTGTGAGAAAAGATGGCGCTTATTTGAGTGCGACTGCAGGCTTGTTAAAACGCACCAATCAGAATGGCAATTATGAGCAATTTTATTTATAATATAACATAAATATGGAATTAAATCTTGGAGATGAATAATAATTTAATATTAATAAATGCTGTGTTATTTTACTAATTAGCATTTGTCAAACTAACATTGTTTATTTATTTCATTTTTTTCCCCCCCCATTAGATGAGTTTTGTACAGTGAGTTAAATATATATTTTTTCATCTTTTTAAATTTGTACAGGGGTTCTATTGTGGCTAGTCTCAGCTTTTATCATTTACATCCATAACGTGATCGAATCCTGTATATATTTAATAATAATATGACTTAAATAAAAAATATTGAATAAAGTTGTGCTCACACCGTCCAGCCCCATTTACACTTCAGACGGTCTCATTTTCAACCCGCTCTGCTGGGAGCGCTTGTCATTTGGGTCAAACTGTATAGTTGTGCAGCTCAGAGGATTTGATCTGCATTTCTACAGAACATAGATCCTCCTTTGAGATTTCCAAAAGGATTATTTTCTTTATTTACAACGATTCTTCACCACTCTGAGATTTAGCATCAAAGGACATTAGGTGTAAATGCTAATGATTACCATTAGCCTTCCTGTTATCCTCCTTGTTCTGTCCTACTCTCTTGGAGCCTGAAACATCTCCTTCATGTCTAAAACCGTAGGAAAAAAGAATCCTTTTATTGTTGTATAGTTTTTTTGGTACCACAAAAAGGCTTCCCTTATATATGTCTAATAAATAGTTTATAGATAAGTGATTAAATAATGTGTAAACACTTTATCAACCATAAGTGTTTATAAAAAAATAATTAAGGGGAAGCAAGAAAGAAAACAGCAGTTTCTTGTTAAAACACCAAGTTTTCCAACTATGGAATTCAGTGAATAGTCTCTGATTTCAGTGATTTGTCTCTTGTTGTGAATTGGTGCTATATAAACTGAAATGAATCAAGCATTAGTTATCTTTTTAACGTTTCAACTGAATTATTTCTATATACCGTAAGCACAATAAGAATTGTAAACATATTTAGCATGCAGAGTAAACACTTATTAGGGCTGGTCGGTATGGCTTTAAAATCTAAATCACAATATTTTGCGGTACTGTTATGTGCATCGGGCACAATATTTATTTATTTACTTATTTTTTTCCTTCTAGTGGGTTGGCCGTCTGCTGTAACGTTTTGTTTCTTTGGATCGGCTCACCAGGTCCAACTTTCTGTTCATACTTTGGGTTGTTTTTTTTTTTGGATACGGGGAACTGGGAAAAAATCTGACCCTCAGTTTTTTTTTGTTTTTTTTTTTGTCTCTTTGCAGAAAAACAAAACACCTGATCTAAAAAGAAGTTCCAGAGATTAAGAATAAAATAATTCTTTTGAACCTCATGTTTGTCTCGCGTCCTCAAATATGTTGTGGCCTGGGTGCTTGTAACAGGTACCATTCTCACAATATATGAATAAATAAAATATGACCATGAAACACTCATTGATTTTTTGAAGTGGTTGTTTGGTAACTGTAGAGCTGGGACTGCATCCCACAATAACAACACAAACACAAATCACAAAAAACACAAAAAATATATATAAAAATGTAAAATAGGCTTCTTCAGGACACTATTTAGGTAAAGAAGTTTGATGTATATCACTAAGCATCCTGTAGTGAGCAGATTTAATCATGCTTTAAATTTGCAATTAACCCAATGGAAAAACATGTAAAAAGAAAAACTTAAAAATAAGATTTTTTTTTATCATCACAAATTCTAAATATTTGTTGAAACAATAAATCAAAATAGTTATCATGACTAGAAGTTGATCATTATTGATCAAGGAGATAAAGGATACAATAAATGTCCCCCCTACCAGTAAAAAATATTTAACTGACTGGAAAAATTCTTCAGTTTGGGACAATTTAGTCAATGTCTGGCGACAATTAGAGATATTCATCTACAGTTTGTTGTTTTTTCTACCAATTTAATAATTATAATAAACAAGCTTTATTGATCTCAGATTATCTAACATCTAACCCATCCCCTTAGGGTGCAGTGGGCTGCAATCGTGCAGCGCGTTCGAGGGTTAAGGGTCTTTGCTCAGAGAGCCAGAGTGGCAGTCTGTGGGAGTGGGGCTCTATGCCCTAACCACTAGGCTGCCACTCCCCTTAACAGCACAAGGCAAAGGCAGCATGTATATAGAAATCAGAATCCATGGACAAACATTTAAATGACTAAAACAAACCGTGACAGGTTCCAGTTTTCCCACTCACCTCCACTCAGGGTTCCCTGAGGGTCGAAGATGTCCCCTCCTAGAGTGACCGTCTTCGTCATCACCTGCCTGTCAAAGGCCACCTTTTTGGCGTTGTCCAGGGTGTCGCAGACCAGAGTGGACCCAAACACGTACTCCATGGCTTTCCGCAGGTCCGCTTCATAGCCCACCAGGGACAAAGCTGTGTGAACGTTATCCTGCCCAACCTAACAGAACAAAGAAAACGGAAAAGAAAATCATGAAAAATAAACTCCCAAATTTTTCCTCCTTACAAGCAAACACGCAAGTTTTAGATTCCCTCTCACCAGGCTCTTTGCGGTGTTGATCACTTTGTCGTTAAGCGTCTTGGCAGAGATCTTGTTCAGGGGGATGATGGTGTAACGGCGCTGCAGCTCTCCCTTCTCCAGGAGCTTTTTACCAGTCACCTAAACCAGAGATCCGCCTGGTTAGTGTCTAACCCTCATTCTGGTAAGACTCTGCCCTCCCAATAACACCCACCTCTGTATCAACAACAATGTTGTACAGTCTGCCTCCAGCAACAACCTCCAGCGCTGTGGCGTAGGTGACGTCGCTAACTGTGATCAGGTTGGCGAGCAGCCCCTTCACCTTGCTGCGGTCCCACCCACGCTCCGGATCCCTGTGAGTGTTTGTTACATCTCATTAAAAATGAACAGTTCTGCCAGATATAGTGGACAATAACCTGTGGAGGAAACTTAAAACAGGACCCGTTTTGTACCTATAAATAAAAAAAGAAAAAACAGTCTATGGACAGACATGATGCAGATGAAAGAATCTAAATTTCTTCTTTTTTTTTTTAAGTTGATGTAGGTGTTTGAAGCGGAAAAGCTACGTCCCATCAAACTTACTTGGTTATTTCAACTAAAACCCTCTTATTAAACAGTATATTTCTAAAGCTCATGACCCTGCATGTGTTTAGGGCAGGAAAAAGAGCCGTTACTTGTAGTCGAAGCGCAGGTTGGGGAAGCGGGACATGAGCCGCTCGTAGGTCTCCTTGAGCTGAGAGACCTTTCTGGACAGCTGCCTCCGATTTTCCAGCAGACTTTCTTCCTTTCCATCTGCAGAGAGGCAGACACCGTTGTCGCACCGATTTAGTGTAAGCAAAGAAGCTTAGCGGAAAGCGCATGATAGGCGAACGCTACCTTCGTAGTTAAGTTTGGCTAGCTCGGCCTGCAGCTTCTCCCTGCTGCTTCTGACGGCCTGCAGAGCATCCTGGTCTTTCTTGTAGCCGCTGTCCATCTTCTTCACCTCAGCCTGTTTGGATTTTAACTCAGCCTGGGCGTGCTTCAGGGTCATTTGGGCCTATGCAGAATGAAGGAGACGGCGTAGTTAGATTGACCACAGGATGAAGAGCAGTCATGCATTTTTTATTTTTCCCCATTTTGTTTGGTGGTTTGATCATCTTTCCCATCCAGGTTAAAGAAAACAATCCCTGCACCATCATGCTGCCACCACCATGTTTTAAAATGAAAAGAGTGTGTTCAGGGTTGGGTTAGCTGCAGTTTAATTTGGTCTCATCTGATCAGAGTTGTTCCAACCATGGACCCAATATGCAATATGGAAAAACCTCTTTCCTTATTGCATCGTAGGTTTCTTGGTTGGCACCCATATCTTGATGCATTCACTTATTTAATGCTTGAAACTTCTAGGTAATGGTTGTAAAATGACGTACCGATGGGTTTAAATTCATCTCTCACCTGCTTGGCCTCGGTGTCTGCTTTGCTCATGTCGTTCTTGCACGCCATCATCTGCCCGGCGAGCGTGTCTTCCTTGCCGTCCTCGTTGGAGGACAGACCGGCCGACACGGCTCTGAAGTGCTGCTCAGCAGCCTCCAGGGCGGCGCTGTCCTTCTGTCCCTCCTCCTGAATAGCCCGCAGCTGCTCAGCCAGTTTGGAAACCTCTTTTTCCTTCACCATGAGCATTTTCTTATCCTACGAAAAGGTTCAATATAAAAATCGGACACATGGAGTTTGATTTTTTTCTTGTTAAGGATTTAATCTAAGGAATCCAGGTAAGTTCGTTACCTCTTCCATGCTCTTCACAAGTTCCTTTCTCTTCTTGGTTTCGTCTTTGAGGTTTTGCTTTTTTAAGTCAAGCGCGCTCTGAGCTTTAGCATCCACACGCTGGGCATCAACAAGAGTTCCCTCCAGGGTTTTTAAAACTCCATCCACTTCCTTAGATTGAGTAGTTTAACATCAAAGGTGGAAAGCATTACTACTATACAACTACAGGAGCTGAGGCTCTACACAAATATTTATGTTTAAGTCTTTAAAAAACAGATCTGCGGTACCTGGTCTCTTTTCTTCTGCAGCTCCTGAATTTGAGCTGAGAGCTCCTGGATTTTAATCTCGTTCTCGGCCATGTTGGCTTGCATCTTGCAGATATTATCCTGCATCACCTTCAGGTTCTCTGCAGACTTCATTTTGGTCTCCTCAGCACAAACGAACAGCCAGGCCACATAGAGGCGGGACAAGTGCTGGATCTCACGCATCAGCTTCTGGTATTCCAAATAGGAGGATCGTTCCTGGAGGAAGAGGAGAGAAAATTAGATGAAAAAAATGCTACATTGTGCAAGAAGCGGTGAATATTTCTCTTCATATCTGTACAGGAAATGATTTAATTAGTTATTCTTCAACTTACTTCTTGCAGTTTTTGCATTGTTGGAGTAATTTCCTCATCCAGAATCTATTAAAGTAAAATACGGGATAAAATTTGCTGCTGATTCTTCATTAAAACAAGCTTATAAAGACACAGAAATAATTGTATAATTAAAAAAGGACTGTGGATTCCATACAGTCTGAATCTCCTTTAGCTTGGCTTCCTTCTTCTCAATCGTCTTCTGGGCGCTGATCTTCTTACACTCATACATCCTGGTGCCTGCTGCCTCCTCAATCATTGCCAGAATCTGGAAGAAGAGCGTTTCTATAAATGCCAAATCAAGGCCATTACAGATAAGATATCCGAGGATGTGTGCAGGTTTTTACCTCTGGTGGCTTCATGTTTAGAACCTTGGTGATCCTCCCCTAAAGTAGTAGAAACAAAGTTTAAAGGAAGTCTTAAATAAAAAAGAAAAGAATGCAAGATGTGTAGAAACAGCCAACCTGCATGATGAGGAAATGAGGGTTGTTAACATTAAGGCCGACAGAGCAGAACAAGTCCTGCACTCTGGTGTTGTTGGCGTTAACTCCATTGATAAGGTACTTGTTCCTGCCACCGATGACCACCTGTAAGGAATATAAAAAAAACATTTTGGAGAAACTTTTACTGGTGTAAATTGGAGTTGATTTTATTTAGGGGTATCAGAACGAATGTAAAACCTTTTTAGATCGAAAAACAGTTTTCCCCACTTTAAAACATGTAGTTAGAAGCATCATGGTGTACAGATGTAACTCAGGAAAAGAGTGGGAGATACTGAGAAAATGGGTGAAGTGTAAGGAAGTCCAAGAATATGTCTATTTGTCCAAACGGCAGACTGAATACAAATACACGGCGGTGTTCTGTCAGACCAGCATACCTATAGTCAATACGCATGCAAAAGAAGTCAGATTTGAGTCTATCCCTTTAGTTTTGTATGAAAATAGACTTTAAACTACCTTGATGGGCGCACATCCCGTTAGTCATGTACAAAAAAAACAACAACAAAAAAATTTAACGTCAGATCGCCATATGCTTCAAAAACACCAAAAAGCAAATAATTTAATTGTTTTTCTGTACATGACTAAAGTGATACAGGCCCAGTTAGGTATTCTGAAGTCTATTTTTCGTACAAAACTAAAGTGATAAACTGGTAGTGATGGGTATGCTGGTCTCTCCGGGTATGCTCATCTGATAGCACAATGGACTTTCACTAGTAAAACTTCTCACATTGAAACACGGTGGTGGCAGAATCATGCTATGGAGATGCTATTCCTAAGAAATAAGAAAGCACATCACTACTTCTGATTTTTTTCTTTTCTAATGAATATTAACCCTTAGATATCACCATCATGTGCTACAGATTGCTGGACTTTCACATAAAATTACAATTATTTCCTCTGCAGTCAGTGTGGGTGCTTAAGGACCAACCTCTAGAATATTAAAAGTGACTCAGAGGTACATCAAATGGAAGATAAAAATAGGAATCTCTGTGAAACTGCTGTCTGTATGCTCACCTGTCTGGTGATTGTGATTTCATCGTGGGTTTCAAACCCCAGAGGACTCTGGCTTTTGTTGGAGTTGTCAAAAGTAATAGAAACTGTTGCTTTAGTGATGCCAGCTTGTCCATTTTTGTACACAAGGTCCTGCAGGTTGGAGGCTCGCACCTTTCATGTGAAATAAATAGAAAAAATTAAACAATCAATTGAAATCTGAATGGTTTAATAGCTGAATAAGAGTGTATAAATAATATGTGCCATACATGTGATAGGTTGGAGATGCCCAGGAGGAAACATATCGAGTCAAGGATATTAGACTTTCCACTGCCGTTGAGTCCTGTGATCGCGTTGAAAAGCGGATCGAAGCCGTTGATTTCCGTCCTCTGGGCGTAGGACTTAAACCCTTCAATGATAATGGACTTGATGTACATCTTTCTGTTCTCTCTCCGCACAATCCGGAGGCTTGATCGGAATAAAAGCGAGACGAGGTGAAAAAATACCGGTAGCAGCCCAGTGTTTACAACCGACAACCCTGTCTTTACTTGAATTTTGGCGGTAGGGAGGCTGGGAGAATACTCTGAGCTGGAGAGCTTTCCTTTATAAGCCGGAGAAAATTCGAAATTGAAGATATTGGTAGGTAAAATAAAAAAAATACAAGAAAAGTAAGGGATGAAAGTAAATATCGTAGGTTTAGTTAAAAGTCTTAATATTAAATTCGGAGTAAAGAAAATTATATGTTTAAGCTCCGAAAGTGTATCATTATCATCAGGCTTATTTTCTGACAACCAGCTTGTGAGCAATATGGCGCCAATCATTATTCGAGAGCAGTTCCGCCATTTTGTGAGTGGCAAGTTTCACTAACTGAAACTAAAACAGGTATTTATTTGGTTTGCCCATTTTCCGGAATAAAATAAACTATTTGTTTAAACTCTACCGATTTAAATGTTTTATTTCTATACACAATAATACATATGTAATTTGATATAAATCACTCATTAATAAAAAAGAACAGATAGCTATGCAAATCTGTTAAAATAAATGAGAAAAAAGAATGGGTATCTCTGACCAATGATACATCTCTATTAACTTAAGTACATGAGTATATATATATATATATATATATATATATATATATATATATATATATATATATATATATATATATATATATAAATCTTTGTAGTATGCATTCAATCAAGAAATTAAATGAAAACAAAAAATGTGTTCCTTACATAAAATAAGTGTAATCAGTACTTATACACATAGGAATAAACACATAATGATACATACAAAAATATAACATAATAGCTTAACATAATATCTATGCAAAACAAGATAATTAGAGCAGAATGAATCTAAGACCTACATTTTTCTCTACTTTTTAAATTATATCTTATATCAATGGGGAACGCATATATATATTGGACCAAAGACATGAAAAATATTTAGCATAACTAAATTACTAAAGCACATGAGCCTAATTTTGCACTGTAACCTTGCAGCAAGAATGTCCTGGGATCCTTGCCTGCAATTAATCACATGAATTTTGTATTTTCTCCTTGAACATGTTAGCTCATTCAGGCTCTGAATTGTTCTTAGGAATAAGTGTGTGAATTTATTCTAGTATGTGGTGCTCTGCAGTGAACTGGCAATGTTTCCCAAAAACATGGAAAAAAGGCGTCACACTCCCGATGCAATCCTGCACAGATAAGGGAGTAAAGCAAATAAACGAATGAAGCATAAGATTCAGAAGGACCTAATGCTACAACAAGCTATGGAAGTGAAAGCAGTTGCATGAGTAAAAGTTTGCTTCAACTCTCTGGATAAAGAAAAGTGTTTTCACATGATATCCTCTATATTTACTCAAATAATCCTAAAATAGCCACAGCTTTAACAAAATGGTTTAGATACAACTTTTATTTCAGCATTCTAACTAAATTTAATTATATATATACAGTATATATATGTATTTATGTTACTTCAGGTCTACAAATGCCAAAAAAAACAACAACAACAACAAACTGACAGTAATCCAACTCTTTGCATAGGGGCCTTTATTCACCAGCAGAAAAGAAGACATGTCTGAATCTGAATGTCATATTTAGTTGTATCTTTGATGGATTGGGTAATTAAGATTGAAGTACAAAAGATGTTTTAAAAATATCAATAGAACTCATGTTTGTCTTGAACATACACTTAGAAGAGCATTAATGCAAAAACAGATCAATAATATTTTAATAAAACCCAACTGAAGCAAACACTATTGACCCAGGTTCCACACAGAACATTAGCTACAGCACAGCCTTGCCCACACACTTTAGAGTAGCTCACATAAGTAGTGTGTCTTCAGGCTTCCAGTGGCACGGGGCACATAGAAAGACAAACCAGATTGCAGGCATAGAAGCATATCTGGGACAGAACCACACAGTCTCCCCTGTTAGTGTAGTAGGTGGGTGGCTTGATGTAAGGGAAGTCAAAGTTCTGCAGATTCAGCGGCCTTTGACAGTGGCGTTCACAGAGTGCAACCAGGGCTCGCACCATCGTGTATTTGGCTGAGCAGGTGATGGCTGTCACTGTGCGCACCTTATCAAAGTGCAGCAGGAAGCAGGGGTCGTCCTGAGGGCAAAACAATGAACATAACAATGTTCAAGCGGGTCAAATTTACAGAGCATCCAAATCTATTGACCTCCTCCTCTGACAATTTATCTTTTTTAAGATGGGTCAGCATTTACCACCTACTGTTTAAAAATCTGCTTTCTAAAACAAGATTGGCTGAAAAGAAATGATTGACTTTTTTTCCAAATTATAAACTCAAAAATATGGAAAACAATGCATCTTAGTCTATTACACTAGTCTCCAAACTGTTAAATAAAATCATCAATAAGGCGCTGCATCATAGCTCCAGTCTCCTAGGGGGCGTGAGTTCGAATCCCACTGCTGCCAAGGAAATCACACAGCTTCACAGCTTGAACAAAAATACATAAATAAATAAATAATACAAGCATTGTAGAAGAATTTAAGTTTTGATGAGTTGTTTTGTATTCTTTTCCATATGCTGCAGGAAACTCATATCCAGTATAAAACTAATTTGATATTAAAGCAATTTTTAAAACATGTTTATGAGCATCAGGCTTCCAATAATGGATCCATGAAGTCACCTATTTTTAGCTCATCTGAAAAAACTTATTGGCAGCAGTGGGATTGAAAGAAATGCATCTTAGTTCTTACACTAGTCTCCAAACGGTTAGCTAAAACCCTCAGTTAGAAATTTATTTCATTTGTTTTTTCCAATTAAAATTGTAAATATTCATTTATTTTGTAAAATAAATAAACTTCAACCTTACTTTTATTGTGCTCTGAGGAAACTTTGCATTGCAGGGGGGTAAAAACATTAAAAAAAAATCACATCATTTCATCCATCCATTATCTGACACGCTTTATCCCGGGTGGGGTTGTAAGGGGTGCTGGTGCATATCTCCAGCTGTCTACAGGGTAGAGGCGGGGTACACCCTGGACAGGTCGCCAGTCCATCACAGTCCTTGTGATATCCATAATTTCATGGATACCTCATAAATAAGCGACATCAAACAACGAAGAGCTTAGGGCAGGACAATTGTTACATCACATCTGTTCACTTTTTAAAATTCAATCCAAAAATGTTAAAAATAAAACCAATGGACTTTTTTTTTTGTTTGAAGATGTTTCACCTCCCATGGAGTGAGCTTTTTCAAATCCAAATGTCTGGAGTAGCATTGAGTTCCAGGGTTTATAGATTGGTCTAAACAAAAGCCTTCTTATGGCTTAGAAAACATGCAAATTGAATCGAAACAGGTCCACCCCTTAGTAATGGGGAGTCGTTAAAGGGGAACACCGTTTTTTTTTTTTTTTTTACATTGGGCCCTTGATTTTACGTTATTGCTTTTATTAGATTTTATTATGTTCTACTCACACATATGAGTTTTGTGTTTTGTGTCATTTGGAGCTGTTCTGAAGATATTTGATTTTATAATCCAAGTAAAATAGTTATATTATGTAAAAATTTTTCTTGAATGGAGAGTAAGTGTAAACATGGAGTGCATTACAAAATAACTTATGCCTCTTGAACTGACAAAGATAGCACAGATTTATGAAGTGAAAGAAAAAGCAAACCTTATTTTTAACATTTTGCACAAATAAAATCAGAGTAAGTCCATACGAGCTTTGGGAATGTAGAGCTCAGGACTATCCAAATACTGTCTTCCTATGGGCAAACAACTTGAAGGCACAAACTAAACTGTTCATAACTTATCATTCATGGTACGCCAGCATTCTTAACACGTAGGGGAATCACTGTCCCCCAGACATCCGCGGTTATATTTCTTATATTTATATATTTTTAAAACAAAGCAGAGTTTGTATGATAAGCGAGATCATCTGTGGTATTAGCACTAGACATCTTCCAGGCATGTGAGTAAAACTAGCAGCAGTTCAGCGGACAGGATGAATGAACGGTACACTGAAAAAAATAATACAGCTGATTTTGGCATTTAGTTAATCATATTTAGTTACTTTAACACAATTGTTCAATGTCCTACCCTGCTAAGATGTAACAATTGTGTTAAATAACTAGATATGATTAAGTAAATGCCAAAAACGGTTGCATTACTCTTTTCAGTGTAGCCTGCGAGTGCGGATGATGTCATACACGCAACGCTTTGTTTTTAAAAGATATAAATATAGTGATTTGCCTACATGTTATGAATGTTGGCGTACCATAAATGATACATTATGAACAGTTTAGTTTGTGCCTTCATCTCGTTGCACATAGGAATTGGATTACAAAACAGAATATCTTCAGAACAGCTCCAAATGACACAAAACTTATACGGGTGAATAGAACATGATTTAATAACGTAAAATTATGGGCCCAATGTTAAAAAAACGGTGTTCCCCTTTAAGTACAAAAAAGAAAATAAAAAATATGTACGTATTATGCTCTAACCTACTCACATATTCATTTTAGAATAGTCTAGTCCTGAGCTCTACATTCCCAAAGCTGGTATGGGCTTACTCTGATTTTATTTGTACAAAATGTTAAAAATAAGGTTTGCTTTTTCTTTCACTTCATAAATCTGTGCTATCTTTGTCAGTTCAAGAGGCTTAAATAATTTTGTAGTGCACTCCATGTTTACACTTACTCTCCATTCAAGAAAAAATCAAACATAATATAACTATTTTACTTCGATTATAAAACCGAATATCTTCGGAACAGCTACAAATGACACAAAACTAATATGGGTGAGTAGAACATGATGTAATAACATAAAATCAAGGGCCCAATGTAAAAAAAAAACGGTATTCCCCCTTAAGGTTGTTGGCTACAGGAGCGATGTTTTGATCACCTACATGGTGATGGATTAAGGTGATAATGAAGAGGAATCAACTTTAAATCTGTGCTTAGAGTCGTTTCCTCCCCATTATCAACTCAATCCTCATCGCCGGATTTAGCCTTTGACAATCTGCATCTCCTGCCTGAGGCTAGTAGCTCAAATTCAGGGGGAAGCTTATCATGATCCTGTATAATGTCCTGAGCCCTAAAGTGATCAGATTTATGAAGAAAAGAAACTCCTAAAACGTATATATAGTTAATTTTTAGAGTGGACTTATCATTTTTGGTTTAGAAACAATAGTTATTGTGCTGGTTATATGCCCTTGCTTTTTTCAGCTGGGTTTGATTACCGGTAATAGGCACATCCAGGTCTGCTTTTAAGTAAAAGTCACCAGATATTTGTTGCTGTGTTTGTTCTGAAATTAAAAGGAGAGTAACCAAATGTGAAGAAAATCATTTTTTATTTTACCAAACACGAGCTGCACATTAGAGCAGTGGGTAGCACTGTTGCAGCAAGAAGGTTCCGGGTTCGATTCCCGGCCCGTGGTCTTTCTGCTTAGTGTTTGCATGTACTCCCTTTGGGTGCTTGGGTTCTCTCCAGGTACTCCGGCTTCCTCCCATAGTCCAAAAACATGACTCTTAGGTTAATTGGCTTTTCTGAATTTTCTTTAGGTGTGAGTGTGTGTGTGAATGTTTGTTTGTCCTGTTTGTCTCTGTTTCCCTGCGATGGACTGGCGACCTGTGCCCCACCTCTCGCCCGTAGACAGCTGGAGATAGGCACCAACACCCCTCGCGACCCCGGCAGGGATAAGCATGACGTAAATTAGATGGATGGATTTCCAAACACTTCCATTTTAAGAAGACACATTTTTAGTTGAATGATCTTGTCTTTATAGTCCTGACAGGCTAAATGTGCGCTGCCCTGGAACTGCAATCGCTGTTTGCGCAAAATGATTCCAAGGGCCAAAAAAAAAAGGCCTCTGGGTCTCACTTTGTCGTCCTATGTTATATTACATTAAGTCACAATAAATTGGTGAAAGTTTCTATTTAAAAGTTGACGAAATTGTGACAGACAGACAGACAGACAGACAGACAGACAGACAGACAGACAGACAGACAGACAGACAGACAGACAGA